AAAGTATCTAGTTGTTTTCTGGAGAATCATCACTTGAAAATCCTAAAAGTTGTTCGGAACGATAATATCAAAAACAGTATGGTAATTTGCTGTAAAAATTGCATAGAATCACTGAATCTGAAAACGGTAATTACTGGAACGAGGAATGATGGTACTGTCTAGGGTCAAAAGCCAAAAGTTAAAAGTTGATTAAAAAGGTTGGTGTCGTCATTTTCTGCTGTTCACTCTAATTAAGAAATCTATTATTGGAAGGTCAACAGACAAATAATTCTACTGCGTATAAAGAAGTACCCTAGTGATAGCGTATTGGAAATGCCCCTTCTAAGTTTTGTCGAGATTTTAATACTCCTAGGAGCAGATTGGCTGAATCGACCTTTTTCAAGGCAAAATGTATAAAAGATTCTGGGAAGGTGCTTACATTGGCCAATTAACTCTGGCGTAAAGGAAGGCGAGGGAATTTAAAGGGTTGATGTGTTCATTACAGTATATTATTCCATCTATTTCATCTCAAGCGTAATAATGTATTACAACTATTTTGTTTTGTAGGAATATGGCATGTTTAGTCGCAAGGAGGAAGATTTTTGTTAACATTTCTATTAGACATTATTTAATGTTTTATAGAAATTAAGGACTATGGAGTGTAATCCATCTTATAGGTAACAGGAAGGAATAGCAGTACATAAAGGAAAAAATAAAAATACTTTTTTTTCAAGTCAAGGAAAACAACAGTATAGTCTTAACAGTTCACTTGGAGTTTTTTGTCGCCATTATGACCTTAATCGTTATGAAAATTGTACTGTTAAAGAAACATAGAAATAATACATATTTGGAGGCTATTCAACTCCGTCTTTCAGAACCATCAATAATGGACATATAAAAAACATCTTTTCATTATAAAATCCATAAAAAAAATTCTTTCCTTCCCAATTAAAGAGTTAAAGAAAAAAATTGTTGCTCACATATATCTGCAGGTAAGTTGATGGTAACCTTGTTTATTTAAAGAAGAAAAAGAACGCTACTGCAGCATTTTTCAACATCTTTTGTCGTCTTCTTTCCCACGTCTTATGACATCATTTGGAAGGACTTTCGAAACAAGTTTGCACAACGTTAACAACTTCAACTCCGGCTTTTCTTAGCATTTTTTGCTGAACATTTGAATTACAGCTGAACTCTTCTTTTCTTCTGCAACCAAATTAAAGCTTACAGATGTCAGAAAATTTTAAGCTGTACTGCAATAGTCAAAAAAAATTTTCATTATACAACTACACTTTTACTTGGTACATAATTGGACTGAATGCATCTTTTTTGCCGTCTTATTCATTTATTTATTTATTTATCTTTTTGATCGAGGATTTGTCAGACGGAAAATGAAATCACTTTTTCCATGAAAAATTTGCTTCCGCTAATTATTGTTTCATTCAATTTTTATTATTTATTTTTTATGCCAATTAAAAAATTTTTATAGATAAGATTTTTTTTGTAACAAAAGTTACCTGCAGCGGAATCTGTTGTTTCTCATATGTTGAAGAGGTGTTACTATAGTTAGTTTTTGCACAACTTAAAGATTTAAATTATGAAGTTCGATTATGCTGCTGTTATTTTGCTTATCGGATTGTTGAAGATGTTCTGTCAAAATGAAAATTAAATTCAATTTGCAAACTCATTGCAAATTGCATAGCGCCTGAATATCCGATAATTTTATAGGGAAATCAAAAAAAAAAAATGTCCTTGCAAGCACCCTTTTTGGTTTATTTATGTATTTTTTTTTTTGTGTTTTTTGTTTTGAACTTCTTAACAGGCATCTTCCGACTATGGTTGTTTTTAGAAGCACTAAATTTTTTATTAAACATCCAAAAATGATTAAATGTAACCGGACTATGACTGGTGTAACACTGAAGTAACGCTAAAAATGGTTTTTTTTGTTAACCCTTGAAAAATGGTAGCAACATAATTTATCAGTTTTTCCACTTACTTTCAAAGAATTTTTGTCATTAAAAGTTGCACTGAAAAGATCGATAGGTTATCCATAAAAGAAATTTTTTTACCAAAGACTTTACTTTAGGGCCAGATTATCAGATAAGACTTTAGAAAAAATAACTATGATTTAGTGAATAGAAAAATGTAGGAGAACAATAAAAAAATGGGAGAATGTCAAACGTTTTGTAGCTTAGTGAAAGTAATAATTGTCATGAAAGTTCTTACTATCCCAAAAAAATGCAGAAATTATTTTTATTATTATTATTTTCTTTTTTTTCTGAGAAAAGCACATTACT